CCCTATACCCCTCCCCCAAACACCACATACCCCCCCCCACCCCAAGAGTTTCTCAGTGGATTTGGGCTGCACTCAGCAAGCGCAGTACAGCTCCCAACTCAGATTTGAAAGAAGATCAGTGGATGGTTGTTTCTGACTGGTCGGCTGCAATACGGTCGGTGGTCAGGGTAGGCGGTCAGCAGGTATGCAACCCTGGATTAAGTTAAAAAAGGAAACAGCTAGGAAGATTTTCATGACCGGCCGTTCACCCGGGCATTGGGGCAAAAAACATAGACAGAAAAAAAAGAAAATTGGCGGTGGGGGTTCTCCGCGCTCTCGGAGAAGGCCAAATCCTGGCTCTTTTCCTTTTTTGAGTGTTGGCTTTAAAGGGGGGGCGAGGGGGGTATACATTATTTTTAAAGGGGCGAAAGGGGTTTAAACTTTAAAGGGGGGTGCCTTGGTGTGATTCGGTTATTTTCCTTTTTATCTTCAGTTCCGTGACGAATTCTGATGTGAAAGTTGTTTGTATCGCAATTCTACACAACATTTTTTTTTCCAGATTTTTTTGGATTTCCTTTTTTTTTTTTTTTTTTGCACGGGCTGCCTGGGACCCTGCCCGGGGGTCATGCCCGTCCGGTCACCTGGGCGTGTTTCCGGGCACGACTTGGTTGCGCCCGGGAAAACAGCCTAGGGAGAAAGAACAAAAAAGTGGTTGAGTAAGGATTTACTAAGAAAAAACTGAGCAATTTCTTGCATACATTCTTCTGCTTTGGAAAGTGTTCATCACATACTCATGACTGTATGAACTGAAAACGATTTTGTATTACCTGAAAAGTGAAAACAGTTTTCTCAAAATTGCGAACGAGCTTGTGAGTGATGGGAAGTGGTTCGAATCTCATGGAATCAGAAACTGACAAAGGGAGAACACAGACATAGGAGGAGTCGCTGCATTTCATTCCTCGAAAGAAAAAGAAAAAGAAAAAGAAAAGAAAAGAAAAGAAAAGACAAGAAACAAGGAGAAAGAAGATGGGGAAAAAAAAGGACGAGAAAGGAGGAAATCCGTCCAAATTGCAGTAATACAGAGAAGATTGGCATGCCCCGTGACACGCATAACTCGAGATGTCCAAATTTTTACTCAAAAAAGAAAGAACGAAAAGAGCGGGACATGGATTTCTGCTCCTGCTGCAACTTGAAAAATCGACAAGGACTGGAGGGAGTTTGATTGGCACCTTTTTTATGAAGAATACAGCTTCCCAGCTCCGACTTTATCGACAGATTGACAAGATGCGCGTTGGCATGAAACTCAAGAGCACTGACAACAGCGGCAAACCACGCATTCATAGACACACAGACGAAGCGTGCACATTCATCAATAAGACTGGGAGGAGACCAGCACCAAAATCAGGGAACCCACAATCTCTCCAGGAAACATAATTGTACTTGTTCTTTCTTCTTTCATATCAGACACCAGTGCGCTTCCAAAAACTTGAGCAGTGTAGTTTTTACTTGGACAAAAGTGCCTACGAGGACACTTGGGTGTACTTGATCGCATGAGCTCAGTTCAGATACCAAGGAGCTCAGCGCACACTCGGGCATAGTTGGGTACAGAGGTGCAGTAAAAACACAGAAACTTACAGAGATTCAAATAGGTGCGCACTTGGCGGCATAACTGAGCAACGAGCATTCTGAGAAGAACTAACTGCATGACGAATTCTTGTCTAATGCCCAATTCAAATTCGACCTGCCAGGGGACGCTGCTAACTCGATGGATGCCAGAAGATCCGGAGGATCGGGTTTCACCTAGGTGACTTCATACTAGGCCTTCCATGCTCACCTCACAGATCAGGCCATGTATTAGAGAAGCCAATGCAAAGGGACCGAAGGTGAACTGGAAAACACAGGGTATCATCATTCGTAGCTGGAACATTAATGGCCTTCGGATTCGGAATATCTCTTACATATTGTCACATAACTATGAACTGAAAGAGCGCACTTTGCAAAACAAACAGCACAAACAAAAAAAATAAAAGACAAGACAAACATGAAGGGCACACTGAAACCATTCATTTTTCTCATTCTTCTTTTTTTATCTTAAAAGTCAAAGCGTCCCAGCATGACACTCCTGCCGAGCCCAGGAGAAACTGGGGGCGGAGCTCCACATGCGGTGCCTGGGACAGGTAAGGGGCGAGGCCAAGATCGACCCGACAGTTCGAGAATGTGCGCGCATGCAATGAGGCAGGCAGAGGAATGCAGCTAGACAGGCAGAAAAAGACAGAGGAATGCAGCAAGGCAGGCGGAAAAAGACAAAAAATATGGCGGGGTCTCTCTCTTTCCTATGTTTCCATGTTAGTAAGAAGATACACCGCCATATTTTTTGTCTGTTATGCACGTCAGGAGCAGTGGGAGAGGAATAAAAAAAATATCGCGCCATATTTTTTGTTTTTTCTGCATGTCGGGAACGGTGAAGTGAGGCTACAACACCATATTTTTATTTTTTTATTTTTTTTTTACACCATTTTTTTTTGTCTATCCTGCATCTCCAAGAGGAATACAGCCATGCAGGCAGAAAAGACAAAATATGGCGGTACATCTTTTCAAGTTTCCATGTGAGTGGAAAGAGACACGGCCATATTTTTTGTCTTTTCTGCATGTCGGGAGTAGTGGGAGAGGAATACAAAAAATATGCCATATTTTTTGTCTTTTCTGCATGTCAGGTTGGTTTCTCTTTTCTTTTTTTTTGTTGACTCAATTTATGAGTATCATCCAGTTGATTTCCTCCCTATAGATTTCCCGAGCTTAGGTTTTGTCGTTTTTCTTTTTTCTCGATTTTATTCGTGTCATCCTTGCCCAGGGGTCATTCGGGCCCATGCTAATCTTCTCTGCGGGCGGCGCCACACCACTCTCGAAATGTGAAAACGACAAAAATGTGGCATGTGTATCTGGCCATGTCCTAGCGGGCAGTTCAGTCTCATTTTGCACATTTCAAGAGTGGTGGGGCGATGCCCTGTACCATTCCAAATTTAACAGATGTCCCGATGGACAGTTAAGGTTTTGGCATTTCGCAATCCTGTAGATTCGGTCAGTTGTCCTTTTGTTTTCCTTGAGACCGTTTTGTCTTTTTTTTTTTTTTTTTTTGTGTACCGCCATTTGTTGCTTTAGGCGTCTGATCCTTCTCCAGGGTGCACAGTGCCTCTATTGGCCGCATCGGGGTAAACTTATGCTACGACTTTATGCAATGTACCTGGACGGCATATGGGCATATGTGCAATGCCATTCCCATCTGTCTGCGAATAGCCCTTTCGCTAAAACACGGGAACATACACTACCTGTGGTTATGGGCCTCCCTCCACTACTCTCAACATGCACAAAAGACAAAAATCATGGCGGCGTATCTTTCCATGTTCTACCCAAAGATTATCTCTCGTTTTGCACATTTCGAGAGTGATGGAGCCAGGCCCTATAGCATAGGGATGACACGCATAAATCAAGAAACGGTCTAAGGAAAAAAAAAAAAAAAAAGATATATGGCATACCCTTTTTTTAAGTTCTTTTTCTACCCCCAAGCCACATCACGTTTTTTTTTGCTTTTCTTGGGGGAGAGGAGAGAGGGAGGGAAGGGGGGGGGGTCGTCAAGTGTCTCCCATGCACAAACATAATGTCATCCCTTTTCCCCGTTGGGCCCAGGGCGCGCGATCTTTAAAAAGCGCGCCGTCTGCAAGTGTGTCGCGGGGTCCACTTGTTGTGAGTAAAGATGACAAACTCAACAATATAATAAAAGGACTAAAAGATTACTCACACAAACCGACTGATAATATTCTGCTGCAAGAGACCCATCTCACATATTCTGAAGAGCACAAAAAAATCAGGAAATATTTCTCTCGGAAACTAGGTGGTTTCAAAGATGAGGTCTGGGCCTCAGACAACAATTCGAGCTCCAATGGCACAGCAATTCTCATGCCGAAGTCCTCACACTTCTTTTCCGCAGGTTCAGTGCAAAGCGGAGACGCGGATGAAGAGATGGGCAGATGGTGCCTCATGGATCTGAGATGGGAAGAAGAAGAGGATTTCAGATTAATTAACATTTATGGTACAACTCGCCCTTCCTTAATGCAAGCATGGAAAAAATGGGGGTAGGTCCAAATTTTCGGAAATGGGTCTGATTCCTCTACAAAGAGGCCTCTGGCTGCGTCCAGGTCAACGGTCTCTTCTCCGAGCGCTATCGATCTCAAGATCAGTTCGACAAGAGGACCCCTTGGCTCCTCCAATTTTCCTATTTGTTATGGAAGCCACTGCATCCTTCTTGGGCAACGACCCTTGAATTCAAAGGCTGCCAGATCATAACTCAGGTACCCTCTCTAGCTAGTCGGACCAGAAGGAGGGATGACGTGGGAAAAAAAAGTTTCAAAACAGATGAACCCACAAGATCCCTGGGGATTCTGGTACTTAAAAAGGGCCCGGCCCCTCAAAGCGCCCAGAATCTGTTGACCAATCAGATCAACAGAATGGGCCGATGGGGTAATGCATTCACTGCACTACTACCGTCTTCCCCCGAACACAATGCACCCTCATTTTGGCTGCATCTGGCCGGAAATACTTGTATATACATTCATTTTAAGGGTGCGTTATGTTCGGGGGAAGACGGTAGAGAGAGACCTGACTACCAATACCTCAATCTCGCCATAATGTGGTATATTGGGTCGATTTGGACCGTACCGGACCACATCATTAAGGATCTGAACCTCAGAGCAAGAGCCATCTTTGGTCGGTTAACCCCCGAATAAAACCAACTACGTCCCCAAGATTGCTTGGCATTTTATCACAAGGAAACCATCCAAAGGAGGACTAGGGATTATCGACCCCAAACAGGAAATGAAAGCCCTTCAGATCAAATGGATAGTCAAGTTACTACCACAACCAAGTCTATCATGGTATAAACTAGTGCTAGACAGCATTAGAGCGGTAATAGAGCCCTAGCCCCTATCCAAAGCCCGACCAACAACCAACATGTCTGGTCTTTCTGGGTTATTAATAAAAAGAATGGAGCCCAAAGACTGGCCGCAAAAAGCGATCGCTAAGCACTCAGCAGAATGAAACACGACCCCTACTCCCTACTGGACAGCTCTCATCCACATATGGAAAGGAATCATGCCGGAAAAGGTCAGGAAAACAAAATCTCAAGAAGTCCTACGCCAGCCCCTTTTTGGGAATTCATGCGTGAGGGAAGCAGGGGACCATCCACTGTCACTCTCAAGAGGCCAGCGATGGCTTTCGTGGGTGGGGCATGGCATATGGTGGGTAAGTCACATATGGGATGAAGAAAAGAAAGACCGGATCGATGAACAAGTTCTGAAAAGTCGCCTAAAAGGCCGTGTCACCACCGCGATGAAAATCTACAAACAGTAATTAACAGCATTCCGGACAGTTGGAAGCATCTACTTATATAGAAGACTTCACATGGAAGTCAGGGGAATGAGGGATTCTAACTCAAGACTTGGGTGCCGACAAGGGTTCACCAGTTCTCCCACAGATCGCCAGGCTCAGACTTCCTAGGCGTCTTCACCTCGTTCCCGGTTAGAGTCCTTGGCCTCGTTCTCCTAGGCTCAGACTTCCTAGGCGTCTTCACCTCGTTCCCACGTCTCCTTTCCATCCATAACACAGACCCGCAAAGAGCAGTCCTCAACACATTCACTGTCCGGAAAGTCAGAGTCTTTGGCCTCTGGCCTAAGACAATCTTTCAAATGGACACTGCAATCCTAGAACTGGAGTTTGACCCACATGAATGTGCAATAATTTGCTGATTTCTGCTGCCGAGTTTGTCTGCAAGGCTGTACACTAACAGTAGGGTTAGATTCACAATTTTGTTTGGCTGAGGGCTAACCGAGTGACTTGCCTGTTGGGAAATTCACGAGGGACAGACCTGTACTTCTGAGGGACTACAGGCCCTAAACTAACCAAATCCCGACTACTACCCTAACTGCCTATAGCAGGCCCGGGCTACCCTAGGACAGACAGGCCCTAAGCGGCCTATACTGGTATACGGTCCTATAGCCTATAGCCGGGTCCGGTAGAGGCCGAGAGGCCGAGAAACAGCAACGGTACCGGTAGGTCCAGTCAGTCCAGTTTCGGTCTAGGCTAGTGTAGGAAYCTATAAGKCTAGGARGKAAACTGATAKKGGGACTTKKGGCTTKSATTTTTCGCATGCAGCRTTGGTGGCCAACCAAGTTGAGCAGCGCTGAATGTCTGCAGTGGCACCGGAGACATCAGCCGTGAGTGGAGCAGCCATAGCCCGCCATCTGAGACAGCCAGAGCTGG